CTGATAGAATTGTATTTATAGTTTACACCAGACTGTCCCAGGCAGGGTCTCTGAATTCCTGTAGTCGGCACTAGGGAGGGAGAACAGGGACTTCCAGAGGGGAACCACCTGTCACTGACCTGTACTATGGCGTCTGAGGGGTAGACTATGGCTCCTGGGGCCCCAGAGGGCTCTGTACCAGGCCTGGGAATTGGGAGCCTTCTTGCTCTTTGATTTGTAGGGTGCATGGGGTGAGACCCTTCTGCCCCTCTCTACCTGCTCCCCTCCTCTGCTCTGCAGGATTCTGGGGCTAAAAAGGGGGATATAGGAAGTTCCGGGTTTTGCCTGAATCCTTCTCACTGCTGCTAGAGACAGGCTTTACTGGGTCACCTGTCCCGAACGTGGATGAGAGCAGAGGCAGGGTCTCTGTCTACCCCATTCCTGGATATGAAAACATTTACAAGTGGGTCTGTGCTTACCTGCTTCCTGACACACATTAATAGAGTCGAGGCCTCCTCCATTCCTGGTATGAAAACAGTAACTATCTTTCCCTTTATAGTTGGATTGCATCCCTGAGATCCCGCCTGTGTACAGATCCTGTACAGGATCAGGGACAGTGTACAGGACAGGGGGCTTGCCTGAGGTTGCAAGACCAATGGATTGGGGGAACAAGCTTTCTTCCGGCCACCGTAGCAAGGGCCTCCAGCCCCAGCTGGGGGGATTAAGGAAAGGAGGCTCCTGGCGTCCCTCAGTCTGGTGTGGCAGCCTGGGAGTGTCCCAGGAGAGAATGAGTGGGCCAGAGGACTGGAGGCTCCAGATCAATCCAAGACCTGAAGGTCATTAGAGCTGTGGCCTTCAAATGAAGTTACTTGTAACCCTGGAGGCACGCACGCCCCCCAAGGCAGGGAAGAAAAACAGAAGAAAGGCCGATTGTTTAAGAGAAGCAATTTCCCAGAGAGGCGCCAGTGATGAGAGGCACTCTCCAGATGAATAGCATACCTCTCCCCTGCCCCCCAGTCTCACCGAGGCCCATTGTCTTGGGCTAAGAAAACCCTTGGGACCCCAAACCAGGAGACGATTAGAAAGACTGCTTAGAGCAGGAGGGAGTAAAGGGGCCAGATCTGCTCTGACAAATCAAGGTTAAGGCACTAAGTGAAAGGAATATACTGGAAATAATGCTGTGCTTTCTGTCTTCCAGGACACTTACCCAGACTTGTAGGAGAAAGGCTTTCACTAGCTTTCACCGACAGATGATTGTATATTGTATCTCCATCTTCGATAGTCAATAAATACCCAGTTCACTCTTAATCATTTCTCTGCCAGCATATTCCTCCCAATCCTTATTTTACTGGGTAAACTGGTGCAGGGCCCGTGTTGTGGATGCTACAATAAGTGATGGATGATCTACAACACAGTTATTATATATTATTAGTATTTATTGTTTTACACTTATATGTGAGATTGTATTCATACACAGTTATGTATGAGATTGCCGTATATAATATCATGATACATATTTCATTGTATGTTATAAGATTAGTATAGTATAATCATAATAATCTACAACAAGTGAGGGACAGGGGCACCTGGCTGGCTGCCAGGTGGGAAGAGCATGGGCACTTGATCTCAGGGTCATAAATTTGAGCCCCAAGTTGGGCATAGAGATTACTAAAAAAAATAAATACATTTTAAAAAATAAGGCAGGAGACATACTCCTTTTGTAAGCTGCCACCTTCCAGCTTACTCAACTCAAGCTTTCTTCTTGAGTTACTTTGAATATGGTCTCCTTGTAAGCAATAAGTAATATTCATCCAAGATAAGCAGGTGAGCTGAGCTGTGTTATAGTGGGTGCTCACAGTAAGCTTTTGGTTGGATACTTTCAGAGATTGGTTCTTTGTTTTTTTTGTTGTTGTTGTTTGTGTTTCATTTTTCATGTAGGGAAACTGAATCAGGAAAGGGAGAGGTAGTTTGTCCAAGAGCTAGTACACAGCAGAGCCAGGATTTGAACCGCGTGGTTTGGGAGGAACAAGTTGCACTAATAGAAGCCCACTGTTCAGGACGTGGCTATTTGGTGCTCACGTGGTGCCACGACCTTCTTCTCACGTAGTGTGCGAGTCACAGGGGGCCTACCATCTTCTTCCAACGCCGCCTTCACACCTGCATCTGGGCCCTGGTGTCTCCCCTCACTTGTTCTTCTGCGGGGACTGCTGCGCTCCTCCCTGAGGCCACCCTCCCCGCCTTGGATCCCATTCCCCTCTCTGGTCAAGGGCATCCCTCCTCACAGGCATCCTCCCCCCACATCCACATGGCTTTCTCTCCTCACTTCCTTCCCATCAGGCCTCTGCTTCTCACCTACACTGTCCCACGGAAAGGCCACTGCACTGACAGCTCTCAGAAATACTTGACAACTTATCCTCTCCTTAACCAAGTCAAGATGCACCACTGACCCAGCTTCACTGGACCTCCGTGGCGATGCTCTCCTCCAACCTTCTTCCTACCTCCGTGACTGTGCTATAGTGGCCCAGCCTCCACGGTAGCCCCCAGTAATCCTCCCCTTCTGGTATTCATTCCCTTGTGCCCTTATTTGGGTGATATGCCCATCCCTGAACTAATCACTGAGGCCAAAAGGACCTACCGCACTGTGGGCCAGACCTGGGTCCTTGACCGCTCCTGGAGTCAGCAGGGTGGGGATCAGCCCCACCTGAACCATATGACAAGAGAGTAAGAGAAGAGCTAGTCTCAGAAGAGGTGGAGTGAGTGCTTGGCCGGCAAAGACAGCATATGGGGTGGGATGCATAGTAGCTATGATGAGAAAAGTGAGGCATGCATGTGTGTTCAGATAGTGAAACACACCCGCCGGCCTCATTCAGATCCACTTTCGTGTTTTCCGTCTACACTCACACATTTCTAGTGGAGTAGCAAATATTTATGCTTACTTCTTTCTGTGCAACGTTCAGCAAGTGGGTCTATTCATAGTTCATGCTTATTTGGGGCTGCCGAAACGCAAAACACAGTTTGTGTACTTTGTATAGATTTTCTTACTTTATCCTCTACAATCCTATGAGGTCATACTTTTTTTTTTAATCATCACTGCTGCTTCCCACATGAAAATATGGAGGTACAGAGAGGTTAAATGACTTGTTTACAGACACATTGAAAATAATTAATGGAGTTGAGGCCGTATAGCGTTCCTTAACCACCATATATTGTGTTGCATCTCTGGAATTCAATTTGTTTCTGTTTTTTTTTTTTTTTTTTTTTCTTTTCTATTTATTTATTTTGAGAGAGATAGAGAGAGAGAACATATGGGAGGTGCAGAGAGAGAGGGAGAGAGAGAATCCCAAGCAGGCTTTACACTGTCAGCTTGGAGCCTTACACAGGACTGGGTCTCAGAAACAGCTCAAACTAGTTTAGGCAAAGGGGGAATTTCTTGGCTTCTGTAACCAAATCCCAGAGCGGGGAAGGAGTGTAGCTGTCCTCAGGGTGGTGGAATGTAGCCAGCAGCTGTCTCTTCTACCACTTGAATCTGCACGTTGGCATCAGACTGTCACGCACATCTTCCCCATGAGGTCAGAACGGTGCTATTCCTAGGTTACCCGTCTGCAAGGATGAGTCTTACTCGCCTTGTCCTTAGACGGCTCTGAACTGGCCTGAGGTGTGCCACACACCCACCTGGTGCCCAGGGCACAGAGAATAATGTTATAGTAGGTCACCTTTGGTGGGAATATGGGTAGAAGAGAAACAGTCCCCAAAATAAGGGGTAGGGTTAATATCCCCAAAGAAACAAGGAGGAACCAGATCTCATTTGTGGGGTCTCGGGATCTCCTTCCTGGAAGCAATAACCTTTGAGGCCTCAAAGCTGAGCAGGAAATGATTGAAAAGAGGAGCAGGGGAGGGGCGAGCACAGGGTTGAGTGGACATATGCAGAAGTCTGGGGATGAGAGGGTTGAGGAAACCCAAAGTGGTTTTTTGCAGCTAGTGTGTAGAGGTGTTAGTTGTTGGGGAAGGCAGGGTGTACGTAGGTGCAGAGGAAACCGCAGGGAGTCTTGTGGAGCTTGAACTTGATCTCAAAGGTAGTGGTACACTTTGGATGGACGTAAGGTGGTGCTTATCCGATACTCACACTCTTTAACCAACAAAACCCCCTTTTGGATAACCCCCCTTCCACCCCCCTCAATGTATGGGACTCCTGGGATCTGTACCTGGTTAATAGAAACCACTGTAATTTGCTCCGGGATGGACATGTGACTCCATCTGGGCCAATGAGGGGCAGCACTCAAAGCTTTGTGGGAAAAGCCTAGGGATGGAGAGGGATGGATCCCTGATCAAGATTTTTAAGAATCTGGGTCAATTTACTCCTGAAGCCAACCACCCCTGGGCTTTTCAGTTACTCAATTCGGTACACAACTTTTATTTCTGTTTGTTTGGTTTTGCTTTAGCAGTTAGTAGTTCTGTCTCTTGTCACTGAAGACGCGTCACTAAGCGCAAGGGGGAGTTAGGTTGGTGTTTTGGAAGGATGCCCCTTTTGAGATTGGATGTTGGAATGGAGAGAGCCAACGTGGAGGCAAGAAAGCAGAGGAGACATAACGGTGGAGTGGACTAGAGACTTGGGACACGTGTCTGTGTGAAGGGTGGTAAATGGAGACAGAAGCATGGAGGATACGAGAGGTGGAAGGCACATTTATAAGATAGATGTCACAAGACATGGCAGCTCTTTGAATGTGGGGGATGGAGAAGGGGGGAGAGTCAGGGATGACTTTAATGTTTTTAAACTGAGTGGGGACAAGGGCTTAAGATGGGGGTTTTATCTGTCACACACATTTCCTATCTAAGTGGCAGAAAAATAAACTCAAGTTGGTTTAAACAAAGTGAGTGGGAATGTCTTGTCTCCCTATCTGTAAAGTTCAGAGTGCTTCAGGTACGGCTGGATCTAGCATTTCAAGTGATGTCATTAAGATGAGATCTTCATTTCTCAGTCTCTGGGACCTGCTTTCCTCTGATCGGGCTTCATTCTGCCATAGGCTCTCCCCTCAAGATGGTAAGGATGCTACCAACAGGTCCAGGCGTGGGTGCCGCTTGCCATTGCAGCAGTGGAGACGGAGTGCCTCTCTCCCAGTAATTCTACTGAAGTTCCAGGCCCATCCGTGAGTCAATCCCTGAGATGCTGGTTGCACAGACCTGAGACATGTGTCCATTCCTAGATCAGAAGTGATGTCATTCCCACTCACCGCAAAGGGCTGAGAGTAGGGGAGGCCTGACCCCTCAAATGAAATAGGAAGCATGATGACCAAAATAAAGGGGAGTGCTTGTTGGGCGAGCAAACCAACAGGCACCCGATTCGATGAGTACAAGATAATTCAGTGAGTAACCCAGTGTCGGGGTGGGGTGGAATTGGGGATCTAACAGAATGCATGGGGGGCAGTGGGGTAGCATCTTCAGGGGGCTCATTGAAGGTCTGGGATTGAGCATCTGGGGTTGAGGGTCTGGGGTTGAGCGTCTGGGGTTGAGGGCAGGTTTGGAAGCTTGGATTTAGCTGCATTTGAGATGGAGCAATTGGGAATGCCTCTTTGAGGAGATGGTATTTCATGTGAGCCCCTGCGGTATGGGAAGCAGCCCGCCCTGATCTGATCGGAGGGTGGCTTGGAGGCGGGAATTACCTTGGTGTGATCAAAGACCCAGATGAAGACCAACAAGGCCAGAGCCTGGGGAGCGGCGGGAGCTGGGAGGCAGAACCTCGCGGGCCTTGTAAATGCCTTCTTGAACACTCTGCTGGAAACCATAGCAAAGATGTAGACAGAGTGAATAGAGTGTGGTGTCACTGACCTTTGAGGGTCTGCGGGAGGAGGGCAGACCATTCGTAAGGACGCTAAAAAGAAAAGAAGGAGGGAACAGAGGCAGGGCATTTCCGTGTCACCTTCCTACTCTGGTAGGATGTTCAACACAGCCCAGCCAAGACCGGTCACCCTCAGTTTACTGACTAGAGACCTGTGCCCAGAGCTGTTAGTGGCCTGCATCCCAGAGCCACAAAGCTCTGGGGCTCAGTGAGTGTCTGAGCCAGGACGTGACTGAATAGGAAGACCCTCTTCCAGATGCTGAGTCCCGGGAGTGCCAGGTGGGTTATGGACCTCATGGGTTCTGGAAGCCTGTCTTCAACTTGGGTCTTGCTAAGTCCGTTCTGCAAAGAACAAAACCAAAGAGCCTGGAAATCTGACCACCTGGCTGAGCTGACCTGGGCCCAGAAGGCCCCTCAGCTCGAGCTCTGAAAAGAAGGGGTTAAACCTTCCGGCCCATTTGTCCTTGGAACCTCAGCTTGCATCCCACCCTGGAATTTTCCTCTGAGCTACAAAGCCAGGCCAGCTGCCAAGCCATATATACATTGCAGGGTAGCCAGGCAACGCGGCGCTCTTTCTGGGAAGGCTCACAATGTGGCCACTGTTTTGTAGACGCCAGGTTCCAGATGGAAGAAAGACTTTAATCCCCAGCTTCAAGGCTGTTTGGCACACTTCACTCCTGAGATCCCGCGCGGGCCAGTTTTCACTCTGACTCTCCAGCGTGGCCATTTTGTCACATTCTGTTTCTGATGTTTTAGATTTTAATCCTTTGCAAGTTGGGTTTGCGTAGAGAGGGGAGATGGAGACAAGACCGGAGGGAAGTTTAGACACAGAGAGAGGCAGGACCTCCATGTCACGGTGAAGGCATGAGAGCAAAGTGGCAGAAGAAAGAGAAAAGGCCAGGAAAGTTAGCAGGAGAGCCTCAGCTTCTTGATCAGTTAGGGAACACACATCAAAAAAACACAATGCCAGACTTCTAGACAAATCCAGAAATTAAAATATCGTTAAAGGCCGGGCTCTCATACACGGTGCGTGAGTGTTTTAAAGGCATGACCTCCTGAAGGGGGATCTGGTTGGACTTACCAACATTTTGAATCTGGGGTGCCCTGCTGGCTCCATTGGAAAAGCGTGCGACGCTTGATCTCGGGGTTGAGTTCGAGCCCCATGTTGGATGTGGAGGTTACTTAAAAATAAAATCTTTAAAAAAAAATTTTTTTTTGAATATGCATAACCCCTGACACAGAAAACTTATTTCCAGTAATTAGTCCTACAGGACTCACAGGAGCGCACAAGGTAGTTGGCAACTGCTACTCTTGTGTGTCTGTCCATATAGGAACGACCGAACAAATTGTGTTACCTCCCCGCTGTGAAGTCGTGAGCGGCTGTCTGACAGTTTAATGCAGAGCTGTATGCATTTGGGCACAGAAGGTGGTCTGGGACACACTGTTGAATCAAAAAGAGAAAAATAGGGGCACCCGGGTGGCTCAGTCAGTTGAGCGTCTGACTTCGGCTCGGGTCATGATCTCACGGTTTGTGAGTTGGAGCCTCACGTTGGGCTCTGTGCTGACAGCTCAGAGCCTAGAGCCTGCTTCGGATTCTGTGTCTCCCTCTCTCTGTCCCTCCCCTGCTTGTGCATATTGGTAAACAATATGTAGAGTCCGAATTTGATCCTGTTTTTAAAATGTGTGTATGTGTATATTTATCTGTATTTACTCATTTTGGTACACACAAAGAAAATTTCTGAAAGGAAAAAAAATATTAGTGGTTGGCATTGTGGGATAAAAAGTTGTACAGGATAGACTGTCAGTTCAAAAAACAAGAAAAGTAAAGTGGCCGTACAACGTATAGAATATGATTTCTTTCCTATAAAATAGAAACTACGTGTGTATGTGTACACATGTACACACACATGCATGCATATATCCTCTTTTGTACAAAAAAATTCAAGAAGGAAAAAAGCAAGAAAATTGTGATTGGCTCTGTGGAATGCCAGGGAAGGTGTGGAATATTTCCATAGTTTTCTCTCCACATTTCTGTGGGGTTTGATGTTTCTCAAAGATTTTGTGTTATTTTTTTAATTTAAAAAAATCTTTAGGGGTACCTGGGTCGCTTAGTCAGCTGAATGTCCAACTCTTGATTTCAGCTCAGGTTGTGATCTCCCAGTTTGTGAATTCGAGCCCCACGTTGGGCTCTGTGCTGACAGCACAGAGCCTGCCTGGGATTCTCTCTCCCTCTCTCCCAGATTCATACTCTCTGTCTCTCGTAGCATATAAGTAAACATTTTTTTAAAGTTAAAGAAAATCTTTAAAAATACTTTTAATAAACTATCACAATCATACCACCATAATGAGTATTTTTAAGCATTTTCTGTATGAATCTTTCTCACACACCTATGTCACACACAGATACATATATACATGGATATTATATATTTATTTACATAAGACTATACATGGGTGTAACGTTTGATAGATGAGAGATGGATGGTATATACAGGGATATTATATATTTATTTACTTAAGATATATACACAAGTGTAATGTTTGAGAGATGAATGAGTGGACAGATATGGGTGCTAATATTTTTGAAGGCTCATTATGTACCAGCGCCATCTTGAATACCCAACAGGATAATGGGTTGGCAGTAACTGGAGGTTCAGGAAGGCTTTGGGGGGCTGCTGGCTGTCAGTTATGCAAAAGCCATGGGCAGGTGGAGCCCTGGCAATCAACAGGATCGGCTGGGAGCCGTGGCAATAGGAAGACATAGATGGATCTGAGAGAAATTCAGAAACTCAGTTCTGGAAAGGATGAGATGAAAAGGGGCAGGAGAGGAGGCACTTCTGACCGGAAGCAAGGGGGCTTGGCTGCTTGCTGGGTGAGGGAGGAAGGGACCAGGGATGATCCTGCAGTTGAAGGGAGGGTGATAGAGGCGCTGAGGGGCAGCTCTGGGTCGGGGTGAAGGGGGGCATGGCTGCTGTTGGCTTGGAGCTTGCTGGATGCGAGGACCACCAGGCTCAGAACTGAGAGAGACACAGTATAGCCGTTCCTCAAAAAGTCAAATGTAGAATTACCAAATTCAGCAAAATGTGGAAGCGGCCTGAGCATCTGTGGACGGGCCAAGGATAAGCAGCGTGTGGGATGTGCGTACAGTGGACGTTATCCAGCCCTGAAAAGGTTCGGCCCACGTGTTACAACGCAGACGGACCTTGCGGACGTGACTCTCAGTACGGTAGGCCAGCCACACGAGACTTAACGCTGTATGTTTGCATTTATCGGAGAGGTTCAGAGTACCCAAATACATAGAGACAGAAAGAGGGGTGGCGGGCTCCAGGGCCTGGGGAGGGAGGAATGGGCCGCCATCGTTTAATGGGCACAGGGCCTCAGTTTTGTAAGACGTCCTGGAGGCAGAGGGTGTTGATGGTTGCACAACAGCATGAATGTGTTTAGTACCCCTGAGCTGCACACTTAAAAACAGTTGAGATGGTAAGTTTTGTGCTATCTGTATTTTGCCACCGTTAAAATGAAATAAAAAAGGCGTTGAGGAAAGAGGTCTGGCCGTGGGGGAGCTTTGGGGCAGCCGTGAACATTGGCATATGAGTCTTTGTATGGACACAGGTTTCCTCCCCTCTCTGGCCAATCCCTGAGTTTCACTTGGGCAGAATGGCTGCCTGCTGTGGTGTGTGTATGTTTTGTCCTTCTTTCATGGCTCATGGGACCCTGGTGTCCTGGGGTGGCAATGTAGCAAATCGTTGCATAGTGTTAACGTGTCCCCAGTAGCACGTGCGTTTCGACTGGGCGTCCCATATCTTTGTTTGCCGAGTCTGGTGGTCCTGTCCTTCTCTTATTTCTTTGAGGTCTCTGCCTGCATGCCATCTCCCTAGAAAGCTCCCCGCTAGCCTGCCCCTAGTGCATGCTCTAGCACCTTCCCTGGCTCCATTTGCTTCACACTGCCCCTCGTGGCCTCATTCTGTGCCTCTGTCCCTTTGCTCGTTCTCTGTTTCCCCCACTACGCCATCACAAGCATGAAGTCAGGGATTTTTGACTGCTCGTTCACTGTTTTATCTTCACTGCTTAGAACCATGCCTGGCACGTAGGAGACATTCGCATGGTATGTTGAATAAACCTAAAAAGCCCAGCTTCCTGTTGCTACATCAAAGCCCACAGCCCTGCTGATAGTTTTAAACTAAGAACAAGTCAAGACTGCCAAGATCATGTGCACACACGTGTACCCAGGCAGCTGCGTCCAAGGACATGATTAACTGCTAAGCCCCTCTGGATCGAGGCATCGCCTGGTCAGCACATTCTCTTCCCGGTAAAGCGGCTGGAAGCCCGATGATGTTGAAGAATCCTCACCACACCCCGCGTGAAGCTAGTCCCCCAGTCGTTCCAGTTTACAGATGGAGGATTTGAAGCACAGAGCTGTTAAGGACAGGTCAAGGTTGGGCGTGAGGCTGGCTTTGTTTTGTGGAGCGAATGGTAACCAGGACCCAAAATAGGGATTAAGAGAAGTCCGTC